TGGGAAAGGTATGGATCCTCTTCTTCTCCCACTCACCAACCTATGGGTAAGTAGCAGGAGAGACTGGGTTCTATAGCCTTGGATGGCAACTGGTCTACTGCAGAAATAAATAGCAACCTACTGCGGGAAAAAAATCTGCCTTCTCAGTCATGCATCGAGAGATACATGATCGCCAAAACGTGTATTACGCATGGCACAGAACTGAATATATATTTAATACAAATCTGATTCGTACATTTTTCATGACTCCATCAACCATATTAATCAAAAGTTCTCTCTTTTTTGGACTCACTCTGTATAGTACCCTCTTTAACCACCCTCTCCGCCAATGTTCTTTTTTTTTTTTTTTTTTTTTAAATTGCCCTGGTTTCCTGAATCGATTTTCATTGCAACTTAACACTGAGGAAATCTTCTTGTTTCACTACTCCTAAATTCTCATGGCAGAGTTTTTGGATATTTCACTATGGAACCAATAATCAATGTGCGGCCGATTTATTCTACCATTCTGTCTGACATCTTATTAGTTTGCTTTCTTACATTGCCAGAATCATTCTTGCAATAAGACTCTTTTCAAGCCTTTCTTTGTGGCTCTCTAAGACTACATCTTCTGTGTCATGTCCTTTCAGCACATGGGCAATCATGGCTCTCTACAATTTCCTATCCTTTATAGCTCTTAGCAACGTTTGTCCTATTATGATCCCTCCCAGTCTGTGTTCTGTCACCCATTTACGCAAACTCGTTAGGTCAGTTACTTTGCCCCTAAGACACAAGATGAAAATTCTTTCCTTTCTTTTCTTTCCTTTATTGTCGTTTGGCTGTTTTAAATGCTTCACAAATTAAAAATATGAGACAAACGATATTTTATGATCAAAAATTAATTTGTAAAATTTTCTCTTGCTCACATTACCCCACCTCATCCCCATAAAAAGATAAGAAAGGATAAAACGTTGTCATTTTTTTTTCAAAATTCAAGTTTCTTTTTTCTTTCTGTCTTCTCAGGATGTAAGCGATCATGGTTCTCCACAACTTCCTTCCCCTAATCCCTTGTCCACTATCCATTTACTCAAGCTCACTAAGTATGTTATGTGTTGTTTTCCTCTGTTCATCTTGCTGTCAATCTGTCCCATGAGTATCAGATTTTCCAAGCCCTCTTTCCTCATTATATGCCCAAGAAACTTAACATATCTCTTCCTAATGTTAAGTATTAGTTCCCATTTCCTCCAAAAATTTGTTGTTACTCACATGTTCAGTCCATGTCTTTAGCATCCTTATTTTATCTAAAGTTTTTTCTTCTTTAATTTTAAAAACCAATCACAATAATCTGTACGACACAAAAATCAATAATCTAGTCTATATTATAAACTATTATAAAATATTCAAAATCAATAATCTAGACTATATTATAAACTATTATAAAATATTCAAAATCAATAGTCTATGCTATAATCTATACTGAAATATACAAACCAGTAATTGTAACAGTGACTGACCTCAATGACCCAAAAGAACCAGAGTCATGTGCATGTTTTGCAAAGGAGTGTGGAGACAGTGAATTAGCAAGCTTCAGACGGACAGTGAATCAGGCAGCACTTTGTGCTTATGGAAGTGGTAGTGTCGCTTTTGGCCATTTCTTACGGGCTGGTTCTGGGTACTCATTGGCTGAGTGCTGGCTAGGTCTTGGTGCATAAAAGCATGGTACGCTCATTCAATGGTAGTGTCGCTTTTTGCTTCTGATGGGGTGTGGCATATTGGAGATCGAGACAAGGAGAGAAATAAGGATTTGTTTTGCCTAGTGAACCTATTGGACTTGTACTATATTTTTTCCCCCCACATTCTCTTCCTGTATGTGCATCCAACCAATTTTTACACATTAATTTATACTATAATCTATAAAATTGATAAAATATACTATATTTCCATCGTTGAATTATTTAATGTATTGTTCATATTAGAAGTGCTCCCAAGATATGGAATATAAGTTCAAGCCTTGTTGGAAGCAGCTTGATAATTTTGATTTCATGCTACCTGCCACTGAAAGGACAGGTCATCTTAACATGAGAAAAAAAAGCAAAACAATCAAGAAAATTGATAAAAAATAACAATGAAAATATTTCATCTCCGAATCTTAAAACACTTAAAGCAATCATTTGACATTTTTCAACTAGCTCTACTTCTAAGAGGAATTCAATCTTCAATGATAACACCATATGACATCAAAATTCTGTTATAGACATCTGTATAGAATAAAACCTAACTGGTTTGAATTTTTTATCAACATGGCAAGAAAATACTCTGCCACATATAAAAAGGCCTTCCTTCCTTACCATAACAAGAAAATACTCCACTGCACAAAAAAGCCTTCCTTCATTACTATTCAAAAAATATACCCAGCCATGCATAAAAAAGCCTTTCTTCCTTACCATAAAAAATACACAGCCACACATAAAAAAGCCTTCCTTCCTTACCATAAAAAATACCCAGCCACACATAAAAAAGCCTTCATTCCTCACCATAAAAAATACCCAGTGACACATAAAATGGCCTTCCTTTCTCACCATAACAAGAGAATACTTGGCCACACAATATAAAGCCTTCCTTCATCTCTGTAAGAAAATATTTGGCCACACATAAAAAAAAGCCTTCCTTCAACATTGTAACAAGAAAATATACAGGCACACACAGAAAAAAAAGCTTCATTTATCAACATGACAGAAATATACTTCACCACACACAGAAAAATCTGCCTTTATCAACTTGACAAGAAAATACTTGGCCACACGCAAAGAAACCTGCCTTTATCACCATGACAAGAGAATACTTGTTTATACAGACAAACCTTCATTTATCACAATGACAAAAAAAATAACTCACCTCACTCTCAAAGATCTTCCTTCATCACAATGACAAAAAAAAATACTTGGCAACATGCAGAGCAAAACTTTCCTTCATCAACATGGCAAAAACACACAGAAAATAACCTTTATCACAATGACTAGAAAATATCTATCAACAAGCAGCAAACTTTTTCTTGATCAGCATGAAAGGAAAAACCTGGACACACATAAAAAAAACTTCCATTATCACAATGAAAAAATTCCTGGACACACACTGAAAAACAACCTTCATTTATAATAGTGACAATACTTAAGAACAAACAAAACCTTTCTAAAAATCTGACTTCAGAAACTTTTCCAGTGTCAATAAAGCAAAGAAAAAAGAAAAAAAATGAAATGTGTTTCAAATCTTTGCATGGATTTCATGCAAATATCCAAATATCATTTCTTTCAAATTCCATCAAGGAAACAAAACAAATTAGAATAAAAATCAGATTTCTTACTTTGCTAAATTTTCTAGAATGTTTATTTTACATTAAATTAATATTGACCTTATCTTGGGCATTACTATCATAAAAGTTGTTTCCACATGACTACTACAGTTAGTAAATTCAAAGAATTTCAAAGCAAATACTTTATTCAACCAAGGCATGAGTTTGAGCGAAGGGAAATAATTCTAATTTTAACACCTCCAAAACTAAACTGCTCTCCATTAATCATCTGAGAAACCATTCTCAGTATTCCATCAGTATGGCTAACCTCCAAGAAATTGTCCCATTGCACCTTCTCGGGCAAATGTTCTCAGCTGATATGAGGCAAAAAGACTACACTGAATCCATTACTAGATTAGCTGCTAAGAAATTTGGCTCACTGTGTTGTGCAAGACATTTTTTCTCTCCAGAATCTATCCTACATATATATATGTCTACCATTCATCCATGTTTAGAATATTGATACCATATATGGTTCAGTGCTCCTGATATTTATCAAGAGCTTCTTCAAATAATCCAAAGACAAATCAGCAATATTATTGGTCCTGATCTGGCACCTTGGCGTTAGTCACTTTCCCACCACTGTAAGGTTCTCTCCCTCTGCCTTATCTATAAATACTTTCATAATTGTTCACATGAGCACTTTGCTATGGTATCTAGACTTAATTTAAGCACAATACTAATGTGAAAATCCTATCAATTTACAGTTGTGTTGGCTCAATGTAACCAAAAAGTCTATGCTAACAATTTCTTTTCTCACACTTCTTGTGGAACTCCCTTCTGACAACTTTAATCTTTGAAAATTTAAATGAAAAGTCAATCACTATCTACTGTCCTCCTGATTACTCTGTTTGTTCTTACTCATTAGTAATGTTTCAGTTTCTAATCCCTACCCAATAACCCATTGTGTCTTAATGGCTTTATTGCCTTGATTGGAGTGAACTTGATTTAAAAAAAAAAAAAAAAAAAAAAATTAAAAATATACATGCTAAGGGAGATAATTCCTATCAGTTAATTCTTCCTGTTTAACTCACACTTGTGATTTCAAATCAAACTTTGTAATGCTAACAACAAAGATAATGATAACAGTCTAAGCAGGAAAGTATAAAATAATGATAATACCTCATCTTAAAAAGTCAAAGTCACAGTAATATTGTTTTGAATTTTTATTACCTGATGAAGAATAACCATGTCTTTTTTAATTTTTGACTCATATTTCTTTCCTTTTAATTTCAGTTGCTTTTTATTGCAGCTACTCAGACCATCAGTCTATGGCTTTTAGTAAACAGTTTGGCTCAGAAATAAAGAATGAGTTCACACCAAAATGGATGCAAGTTCAAGTTTCATCAAGGGTTTTACTTTTTATTTTCTATGCAATTTACTAATGGCCATAGACTGATGGTTTGTGTAGTTGTAATAAAAAGCAACTAAAATCAAAGGGACAGAAAAATGAGCCCAAAATTAATATATTTCAATATATTTTGATAATTTTCATGTCAGTTTTTTTTTATTTTTTAATTAAAGCAATGATACATCTTCTCTGAAGTTTTATAAGAGTATTTCTGCTGTAATATCAAATACTAAACATCAGTTCAGTATCAATTTTCTCATAAACAGAAAGAATCTTTGAACTGAATTTGGTAATGTTCAGTAAATAAGTAATCCATTCATTTACAGCTTGCTGGTTAATGATGATCTGGATTCTGAAATGAAAAAAATAATTTTTTTTTAAATTAACTAAATTTTAAAATATATAAATTAAGAATATTTTTTACATAAAAATGATCCCACAATATGAATATTCTTCATTCTATATTTAAATTCTCAAACATTATTTAAAATCGAATTTTCTATAAAATCTAAATGTGCCATAGATCAGTGACATCCAACCCTCAGGCCAAACATAATATTTTCATGTGGTTCGCTGCACACTAAAATCTTTAGGTATATTTTCATTAACTTTAGTAACATATGTCAAGAAAATTATTCTCAGATTGCTTGTAGGTTCACTTTCCCATTGCACTAAAAGGGGGAGCAGTGAAAAGGCTTTTCACCAAGACACATCAGCTGATTCATGGAACAAGAGCCAGAACTAAATAAAAATTGTTTAGCCTATCTAGAAAAGCATCATACATGTGGGGGTAGTACGTACTGCCATGAACAATTCTTTTCATGCATAAAAAACAGATTGAGTGATTTCAATTTAATTAAGATTCTTAGAATAAAAACGTGTCCATAAAAGCCGATATTGACAATATTATAAAAAGAAAGCAATGTCAAAAATCACATTGAATTTATTTTATTTTGTGTATGTATAATTTCTTCTTTTTTTTTTACTGTCAATAATATAGTATTTTTTATAATTATATATATTTGTTATTAAAATATAATATTCACAATGTTTTGAACATATTAAAAGCATATTTATATAAAGTACTTTTGTGGACAGGTGAATATACCTAAATTTCTAATTTGAACAACCCTGCTCTCGATCAAGAATATCAAACCAGATTTCTTTAGTAAAGTACTGTAGCAGATGCTTTTTAGGAGTCACCAATTTGTAGTTTAGTAGTCAAAGGTAATCATTGAAGAAGATGGTATCAAAAAAGAAAAAAATGAGTTTATTATCACAATGTAAATATAAATTCTAATTACTGTCCTTAACTGAGATCAACACAATGCCTATCACATGCTTAATATCTTATGTGCAAATCTGTCCAATTAGTGAAAATATAAGCATGAATTGGCAAATGAGTTAGTGAGAGTTCAAGAGAGGTCAGCTGGCAGAAACAAGTTAATATTTGAGTCTAGCTCTGAGTGGTGTGCAGCAGAACTAATGAACTGCTATGTATAGGTGTTAATCAATCAAGAGATGACAGGACAGAGAAAACCGATTGGTCAATGGATTTTTTTGTCTCATTTTGTATTTTCCTGCTGTGTTCAGATTGGCTAAAATGGTAATGTACTATGATCCTCCTGACATTATAAAACTATTAGGGAATCATCAGTTTGCATCAACCCTAGGAAGTAAAATCTTCTATGGTGAATGAAGGTTATCTTATGACAACATCCATTCTTACCACAGAACTATCTTGGCCTTGTGTGAGTATTGAAAGAAAGTGTTAATACATACAAGATAAATTTTTATATAGCACAATAATATATATATATATATATATATATATATATATATATATATACACACACACAAACAGCATATTTTCATTTAAGTATGTTTGGTTAAATAATTTAGACATATTATGTTTATTTATTGTTTTAATCCTTTCAAGTCCACAAATGAATTTCTTGATGGCTGTAGAAAATTGATTAAGAAAACTTCCAAAATTTTCTTTAAAATAATTTTTTTATTTTTCCCAAGTACTTTCAATCTTATCTGAGACCATTTTCAGGAGTTGCATATCTATGAATGTGTTATGCATGAACACTGTAAATTCAAAATATTTTTGACTTCTATGCAAGGAAGGTAACTTATGTGATTTTTTAAAAATATTTTTAATTGTAGTATTTTAATTTAGTATTTTTATATAACACTTTGCTGTTACAAACATTTAAGAACTTTGTTGTTATAGTCATAGTTGACTTTATTTATTTTTGGCCGCAATTCTCTTCTATAATTCTTCCAGAATTTTAAGTTTTTGCTTATAATTATCTTGATCGAGTATTGATGGATTTTCAACTAATATCTGTCTAGACTGTGAATGTGGACATGAGTGTTCCTTTAAATGTTCTGAGATTGAACTATGATCGTTCATGTGAAACGTAAGCCTTCTCATCATTATCGTTATTCATGAACTTGAAAGGATTAAAACTATATATATATATATATATATATATATATATAGGCAGAATTTTTCATTAATGCATGTTTGATTAAATAATATACACAAGTTTTGTCTATTTTATGTAAATTCTTTTCATATCATCTGATAAGCTAGGATTAAAAAATATGTATCAATATTGTGATCTTCTTTCTTCTTTTAATGATAATGTTATTAAGCTGATCAGATAATATGAAAAGAATTTACATGAAATAAATCAACAAGACTTGTCTATATTATTTAATATATATATATATATATATACACACACACACACACACACACACACACACAGGGTGGCAATAAAGTCACTATACAGTTACTTACAATAAGAATTAAAACAAAGCAATTAATCAACAGACCAGAAATTTATTATTAAAATGCTTCTGGTTAGTAACAATAAAATGCTATGGTAAACAATAGTAAATTAATTACCAATACTGTTTGAACTGCAAGCCACTTGTTTCAATGCATTCCCTACAATGTGAGTGAATGCTTTGACAAATGTCACAACAAAAATGGTTGTGCCGGCTTAAGTCTACAAATGCCTCTTGAATAAATTGCTTGAGGTCATCAATATTTCTTGGTTTCTTTGCACAAATGGAATCATTGATAATTCCTTATATAGCGATATTCATTGGGGTCAAATCTGGTGAGTGAGGTGGCCACTCAATGCTGTCACATCATCCTAGCCTGGAAATGCTGCATCAAGATAATTTCTTTCTTTGAGAGCAAAATGTAGCATTGCCCCCAATCCTGTTGAAAGTAAAGCTTTGCAGTATAGTGTCTTTATTGCTATCCTATATCTATGTATATATATATATATATATATATATATATATATAGATATAAATATATATTTATTTATTACACCCTTGTACCATCAAGTGAGTCTAAGATGGCGAGCCAACCACACTCACCAGTGGATGGGGTGGGGTAACCTATCTGGCCCAGATTCCACCAGAAAAGTCTTGCAAAAAGTGCTTAATGTCATAGGGAACAATAGCACCAAGGTAGAATAGATGAGCCTAGAGCTTCAAGCAAAAAAATGCTCTACAAAACTGAGGAACTAAAATTACCCACATCAGAACATAAGCATGGTGGTATAAGAGTGCCTATTTTACAAACTACAGCCAATGACCACCAGATGATTGCACGAAAGTGCATGAAATTAGCCGTCATAGTTGGTCACTGCCTGCCTGGATTTTAAATATATTAAAACTCCGCCATTTCTTATGGCATTGAGCACTCTTTTTTTGCCAGTGTGCAATTTTAGGCAGACTCTTTTTGGAGTTACTCATCCTTTTTTCTGATTGTAAACAATTCCACATGGATAACTTTATTAAATACACAGAAAATAGAGAAATAGAATAAAAATAAAAGTCAAAATGAAGGTAAGTATAAAAGGTGAATTGCAACATCGTTTGTTAGTTAAATAGGTTTTGTGAAATGCTTTCTCTTCTCATATTTTATATCCACTGTGATATTTATATCTCAATGTCATTGAATTCTGAAGCCACTTTCAGCACCGAGACTTACCTGGTAAGGATTTTAATTGCCATAATCTTTTAGAATCAGGATCTTGAAGCCAAAGTTTCTTGAGAACATCAACATCTAGAAATGGAAAATAGTCAATCAAAACAAATTAACCTAATATTGGTAAGTATCTTATAAATAATGAATTCAACATATCAATTCAAATCAATAATACGGTTTGAAATACTGAAGTTAAGACATTTTCAATTTATTTCAATGAATATATTTATTTCTGCTGATCTCATTGCAGTGTTTTAGTCAATACATTTCTGATGAAGTAGAAAATTCAGAAAACAAAATTTATTTTAAAAATAATCATAAAATTAATCTTTTGATCAGATTAATCTTTATTGCTATAATCATAATGTTTCGGCTCTGATGTCTTCCAGCCTTCATAAGAAGTTTGTCAATCTAAGTAAGTTTCCAGAAATGTTGATCTGAACTCTTTATATAATCTACGGCAGTAGACTATTCTCACTCTGTTGTCCATGTCAAGAAATCACAATTGAAATGATATCCTGAGACATGAAGAGTGTAATGAGAACAATCTCTACTCCTATAGAATGAATAATGAATTCAGTACAAAATTCACTGAAAGAGACTTGGATCACCAATCAACTGATAAAAGCCAGGGTTGTGATAACAACAACAAAGATGAGGAAATTATTCCATTTGTAAATAATAACTTGTCATCCCAGAAATCCAAACAGAAATCCTCACTAAATATTGTAACCTGAAGAGAAAGCCGGAAAACATAGACCATAGTGTAGTGTAGAAGGCAAATGAATTTTTGGGATGAATGATTAAATTATTATGAAAAAGAATTAACATTGAGGAGTTATTTTTGATTTACCACATAAGTGGATACTTTAATCTCACTCACACACCATACATACATACATATATCAGGTCATCCCATAAGTTCTGTCCGAATTTTACCTTTTTGTTAAAATGAACAAAATTTAAAGAGTATTTTATAATGTCTAATGGAGATGAACATTATTTTTATGTTTAGATGCATTTAAACTGATCAAATTTTATTTCAAAGAACAATAAAATTAAATTTTGTTTGATTAAAACCCTGCTAACATGGAAGTACTCAAGAATCATTTGAGGCACATAATGCTTTATGAGTTCAAGAAAGGAAACTCACCAGCCGAAGCGGCTAGAAACATTCACTCAGTTTATGGATAGGAATGTGTGAATGAAAGAACTTGCAGAAGATGGTTTGCAAAATTCAGAGGTGGAGATTTCACCCTTAAATATAAAGATCAAACCAGACGTCCAGTTGAGTTTGATGAAAAGCTTCTTGAAGCAGCCCTTGAAGAAAATCCTGCTTTATCAGTTGAGGAAATGCCAGTGGTTCTCAGTTCAAACCATACAACTGTTCATCGTCATCTTCAAAAACTTGGAAAAGTTCCTAAACTTGGAAAATGGGTGCCTCATGAATTGTCTGAAAACAACCTCAAATCCCAAGTTGACATCTGCTCTTCTCTCCATTCTCGCCAGCTTGTTTCCCCTTTTTTGGATAGACTTGTGACTGGTGACGAAAAATGGATCTTTTATCGAAATGTTAAGCATCGTAGACAGTGGCTTAGTAAAGGGGAAGGACCCCAGCCACAGCCAAGAATGGAACTTCATGGGCAAAAGGTTCTTCTTTCAATCTGGTGGGATCGCCAAGGAATAATTCACTTTGAATTCTTACCACCTAATGCAACAATTAATGCTCAAATATACTGTCAGCAATTAGAGCGTTTGAACCAAGCTTTGAGGAAAAAAAGACCTGCTCTAGTGAATCGAAAAGAGGTGATGTTTCATCAGGACAATGTGTGACCCCACACAGCAAGAATCACATCACAAAAGATCGAAGAACTTGGTTGGGAGAAAATTCCTCATCCACCTTATTCTCCCGAACTTGCTCCTTCAGACTACCATTTGTTTTGTAGCTTACAGAATCATTTGGAAGAAAGAGCTTTTGTAACACAGGAAGAGTTTAAAACTGACATTTGTGAGTTCTTCAAATCAAAGCCAAAAGAATTTTACAGTAATGGAATTAGTAAGCTTGTTAATAGATGGAAGGAAGTCATAGATAATCAGAGAAAATACATTGATTGAATCTGTAATTAAATGTAACATTTGGTCACTTGTTTTCTTTATTCAAAATTCGGACAGAACTTATGGGATGACCTTTTTATATATATATATATATATATATATATATATATATATATATATATATATATTATTTCCAATGCTATCGACACTTTTTATTTTATTTTTTCTGGTGGTGGGTTTTTGTTTTCTCCAAGTAATGGTGATTCTTTGGTATTTTCATCTTAGTTGTACGAGTCATTTCCTCCTGGGTGAGCTTAGTTGATGTGCACATATTATCTACACTTCATCTACCCTTGATGTAATATCTTGAGTTAGATAATGTGGTACAGTGTAACCCGGATATAAGAGAGATTTTCTCTGGTCCCAAATTAGAGCCCATACTTACCTAAACAAAATAGACCAAACCTGGATATAAGAGAAACCCGGATATAAGAGACTTCTTCTCCGGTCCCGACAACTCTCTTATATCCGGGTTACACTGTATAAAATACTCATTTTCAAAAAAGTCAATTGCCAACGACCTGATGATTGCATGAAAATGAAACTGTTAGTAATGGCTGGTCCTTGTACACTAAAGTTATAAGGATCATAAATAAATAGATAGATAGATAGATAGATAGATTTATATAGAGACATATATACACTCCATGTTAATGTTTATTATTATATAAGAAATTTTCCTATAAAGACTTAAAAGGTTTTAGTATAAATAACTGAAGTATCTAATACTTGAGGCAATATATCTTAAAATCATTCTAATAATTACAAAAAGTTTAATTTTTGAATGAATTCAAAAATTTCAAAACCCAGGAGAAAAATAAAAGTTACCAGCAAAACCAGCCAGATACAATGTTAATCAAATTGTTATTGGATTAGGCACTCAAGAGGCAAGAAAATACAATATTTTAGGCTGGGAAAAAAAATTTTACTTATTCAAATTGTTGCATCAAGAAAACTCACATAGGAAAAGGAAAAAAGAAATACAAAATGGGGAAAAAGAAAGAAAATAAGACAGAGAAGAGATAAACATTAAAAAAAAGAAAAAAAAAAGGGGATAATTTCCAAGATAATCACAAAATGAAAACATTAGCCAAAAAAGGAAAAAGAAAAATGATCTTACTGATAAAATCAGAAATATTCTCTTTTAAAGAATAGATTCTTTAAAAGAAAAAATACTTACTCTTCGTTTTCCTGTACTCTTGGAGAACTGACATAACTATTTCCATTGGAACTGAAATACTGACGTGCGGATTGTCATTCAACATTCTGTAAAAAAAATAGAAATAAACTAAAAAGAAAGAATTTGCCAATTTACTGGCAATTTCAAAATGTCAGTCTCAGATGAAATTGTGTTTTAAAGCAATGCCTTGTGGGTAATTTCTAATGTTAGTCTGCAAAAAAACAAATTTTAATGGTGGAAGAACCAGTGTAGAACAAGTTCAAGAAATTTTCAACAAACAGACTTGCTCTGCAGCAGGTACCAATATTGATGCTGAAGGTCAATGCTGGAAAATCCCTTTAGAAGATGCTTATCAGTTTAAAAATAAAGTCATACATGAATTGTATAAACAAGACTTTATTAAATCGAACAAAGAAAAATCAAAACATTCTACCAGTAATTGAGCCTTTGACAAAAATATTATGGATCAAATTTTTATCATTTATGACAGAATTTTTTAAAAAGGGAGTTGTCATTATCATATGCCTTTACATTCACTTGGCTGTTTTTTGCACTGGCAGTTATGAGTTCAAACACTGGGTCAGGTGATGTGGAACTAGCTCCTCCTGCTATACTGCATCTTTCCAAAAGACAGATCAGAGAATAAATGGTGTACTATTGCCATATCTGGGCTGGAACTACCCAATACTCACTTGATAAAGTTCAAAATGTCTACATGACTATAGCAAGATGAAACGACAGTAATTAGCATGTGTTTATTATGGCAAGTGGTGGAAACAGCCAACAAGTATTTGGTAAAGTCCCTCTGCCACCCATGCAAATGAATTTGCTATGTTTAATCTGAGCACAAGACAGTTCTTCAGTTCACTTGTGGTTGCTCTGGATTATGATGGATTCATTTTCTATGGTTTATCAACTCTTTACAGGTTATTTAATAATAATGATTTAGTGATACAAGTTTTATTAATTAGCTGGGGGGCGAGAAGAGGTTGATTCATACCTTTCCCAAGGATATTTGTACATAAGTGAATATAACGAAACCAACTGTAATTAGAACTTGGCTCTCCAATTAACAATTACACCACCCACACATCCAAGCTTACATCAGTGGTATTCCCAAGTTGTCGCCCATCTGGGTACTGATCAGGCTCGACATTGCTTAACTTTATATAGGAAAACATGATATGGCCATAAGCTCTGGAGTGGCAAGTGTGTTCACATTACAATTTGTATAAGTTTGTAGATTGCATTTGGCAACTTCTGGTGTGTTGGTGAACTGTGTTCATCTTGTCTGGTTTTTGCACGTCTGCACGTTGGGAGCACCCCTCTCGACTGTGAAAAACACTGGTGTTATATAGCTCTCCCAGTCCCAGACCCATGCTGACTATTGGCTAATATCTGCCCAGTATCATTTGTATGCAAATAGCGCCACTTTCAACAGCCTATTGTGGAAGAGGGCACAAGTCCTGCTGCTTACAGCACCACATACAACCAACTCGGAGTCTCTTTTTTGGCTGACCTGATTCTCTGTTACATGAACCTGCACTAATTCTTCATTTTTGACATAGCAACCTTTTCCATTCTACAACCCCTTTCCCACAGACAAAATGCTGCAAGACTGTTGCTAGTCTATTGCTAGTTCCTTGGCAAATGTTTTGACAAACCCCATTCCTTAGTTCTATCAGTTCAGACCTTCACAGCTAAAACCCACTATGTCATGTACACAGAGGCAAACCATCCTCATTCCCTTCATATTCCATTGATGAAAAGGAAATTCCATTCCAACAGTTTCTTCCCAAGAACTGCTACTTTGTGGAACTGAATCCTGAATGAATGCTTCCCCAATCACTACAATCTTAACCTTTTTCTTTTACTCATTGATCATGCAAAATAAGACCTATGAGCAACTCCCTATGTCACACCTTGTCAAAAACCTTTGATATATTTAACATAATTGACCTCATGATGAATTTATCGTCTCACTGATTCTGTGAGTAATGACATCAGCAGTGGACCTAGAATGCTGACATCCCTACAGCTTAGGAGATTGTTCCTGTTGAGATGCTCAACAACCTTCTTACTGATTAGATACTCTAGTTTGCTGATGTCACTAAGGAGGCTGATGGGTCAATATTGTGATGAAGATGAGCACCTACCTGCATTCTTGAAAACAGGGCATACAGCTTATATCATCTAAACAGTTGGAAAGCATTATTCCTTCAGGCAATGGTTAAACAATTTAACCAAGTTTGGTTATATCTCAGGACTAATGTTCTTTAGAACAATCCCTAGAATTTTACCCAGAGTAGTAAACTTCTTTTGAGGAGTCTAGATACTTCCCATGTCATGATAGACATTACAAAGTTAGTCTTATCTGACAAAGATGAGATAACCTCAGAGTCATTTATGATTCAATCATTCAACTCACAAAATGAAAGTTATCTTGAATGACCACTCTTCTAGATCTTTTTTACATTAATGCAGGTGTCTCTTAGGGCTTTATTGTTAGACTTTGTTTCTAATTTTCATCAGTGACCTATCAGCTCTTAACTCAGTATTTATGCTAATGACCCAACTATTAACTCCTGTTTTAATAGTAAATTTGGTAGGCTTGATAGGGTTAAACTGGCAGATGATCCCAAAAATGACATTCAATCTGTTGTTAACTGGAGCAAGAAATGGCTTGTTAATTTTAATGCCTCCAAAATTAAACTGCTCTCTTTTAATCATCTTTCTTGTTTTTCAACAGAATGGCTGATGCTAACCTCCAAGAAAGTCACTCATTGAGTCTTTTTTTCCACTGAAATGAAGTGAAACAACTATATCAAAACAATTGTTAGGTCAGCTGCTAGGAAAGTTGGTTCACTGTGTCATTCAAGACAATTTCTCTTGCCAGACTCTATTTTACAGCTTTATAAGTCTACTATTCATTTGTGGATTGAATATTGCTGCCACATCTGGTCGGGTGCTTCTGCTATTTGTCCAAAGATTCTTGACAAAATTCAAAGAAGAATCTGCAATGTAATGATTCCTGACCTGGCATCTCAGCTTCAGTCATTTTCCCATTCTGCCATAACATTATTTTCAATAAATATTTTTATGGTAATAATTTTGATGATCTTTTCTCTTTGATTCCTAGACTTTATGAATTTAGACATAGGGTGTTTGGAAGAAGTAGTGAAAAAAAACAATTGAGAATTGAGAACTACAGGGTATAGATGGAAGTGGAGAGCCATGATCACCCATGTCCTGAAGGGACAGGGCACAGAAAAGAAAGAAGACTAGATTGGTAGTAAGGTTTCGTCATTTAACAGATGAAATTGCAAGATGTAACCATAAGTTTTATGCTAATAGTTTCTTCTCTAACACTTTTCTTTTATGGAATGTCTTCTTGCTTTCCAGTAAAGTTTGATCTTCAAATATTTAAATGCAACATCAATTATTATCTTCAGTCTCCTTGATTCCTGTTCTTTTAGTGTCCTCTCTTCTTAATAATGATTTTTCTTGGATTCTTTCACTCTCAGTAATCCCTTGTGCCTTAGAGGCTTTATTACATTCCTTGGAATAAAATGAGTGAAAAAAAAACAAAAATACGAACAGCATTGATACTTTATCTCTATTGAGAATTTTGTTTGAGATTTTCCAAGACTAACAGGAACCAATTTTTTTGCTTTCAACCTTAACTTGAACTGACTGCACATAGCTGCTCAGTGAATCTTCTAGAACTTATTTGTAGCAAGGGTCCTACTACACTTACTAGGGGTGGTGATGTCATAAGCATGAAACCTACTATCTTTCCGAAGCCCACAGTAAATCATTTTCAGGATCAATATTTTTCTCACATTTTAATAAGTTTGTCCATCACCTCTTCCATACATTTGAAGGAACAGTATTGAACTTGACCTACCAACCAATTACAAACAGACAATCAGTTTTATGGTTAGTGGGGTCTGTTCTAGTTACTCTTCAGTTAAAAGAAGGAAACTTGAACCATTCTTCATGAAGAGTGAATATAAATGTATTTTTTAACAATGTCTCATATATTTGACAACTCATATTAGGGAAAGCTGGATAAGTATCAAATTTTTATATACATTATACAAGATTTTTTTTTATATATATATGAGGTGAAAAGGGATACATTTAGCTACCCATGTTGGTGTACACAACAAAAAATGAGGATTTTATTTCCATAATGAAAGGAGGAATAAATCTGACAACATATTGGGAGGGTGCACATTGATAAAAGACAACATGTACAAGAGAGAATCATGTTAGAAAAAGGTTTGAGAGAAGATTGTTAAATAAACTGAAATTCCAAGGAAGGGAGACATTTTTTGGTTAATTAAATAATAGAAAAAAAAAAAAATGAAAAATTTTGCCAATGTCAAAAAAAGGCAAATTACAATGGAGAACTGAACCTTTCAAGAAAAGAGAGAATATTTATATTTTGTGACAGAGGTGAATAGTGTTGTTGATTGTACCACATTTGAGAAATTACGCATAAATGTTGCTTCTTTTAAAGTTGTACTTAATAAACACTAACGACTGAAATTCATGAAGATTCTTGACTGTCTACGCGCATATTAGTCCTAAAGTTTAAGGGGTGTTAATCCATGAAAACACTAAATCAGTTTGAGACTTGGAAATTATTAAACGTCTATACAATACTGTAAAAAAGAAATGTGTATTGAAATGCTCTACTCTAAGGGAACAAACTCTTGTATATCTTAAAAACAAGGGAAGTAATAAAATATTTACAATGGAAATATTTTAAAAGTCTATTAATATAATTGTTATCTTTATCTTTCAAAATGATGCTTGCTTTTATTGTAGTAGCAGGATTATTAATTTCATTGAAGATTTCTAAAAGTAGAATATTTTTACCAGCTGCTGATTAAACTTAACCTCATAAAATAAGAACTTACAAAATTACCTCCCTTAATATCTAACAATGTACAACACAAGATATAACGTTTTTTAAATTGAGCTTTCTCTCCGGACTTCTTTAAACTCTAAAGTGAGGCAATCCTGAGATAATTAGAATTTCTACAAGGATTCATTATTATCGGCCACAATCTTTGAC